CAGCCTTCCAGAAGCACCTCTTTTCCTGGCCTGATAACCAGCCACTTGGCTTGGCGGAGTCTTGCATTCCACAGGTCCTCAAAAAGTGCTTCAGACTTAAAGAATAATGTACACTTCTGCTTCTAGCCAAGATGGAATTAACATGGACTGCATTTTCCCTTTCATTTGAAACAACTGAAAGAACGAGGCAAGAAAGATGGAATGATGGTTTTCAAGATATCGGATCAGGCAAGAAAAATCAGTGATCCCTGAGAAAATGAAAACGAGAGGGACCCTATGATTTGGGCCACTTATTGCCAGGAGAGACTTCCCAAAAGGGACAGGGAACCTCGCCCAACGCCAGTTCCCAAGCTGAGGACTTCTGGAAGCTGAGGCAGCTGATAAGATAAGGCACCAAAGGGAAGACCACCACTCAAAGGGAGAGCTCCACGGATCTGTCATGGAGTCCTCCCTCAAATATTCTAAGCACAGGTGTAAGGAAAGGACCCTAACACTGGGGAAAGAACTACCCAAGAGGATTAAAGGGAACCATCTTTGAAGCTTACACAAGACCAGGAGTAGCCCTCACATTCATCAGCCAGAGTGCAAGGCACCTTAATCCATGAGGCATTAGGTACAATCCTACGAGGGGCCTTGCCTCAGCTGTGCCCAAGATTAAATGCTGCTCTGGTCCCATCTATAAAAAGCTTAAAATCATGACCCAAAAGGATCAAACTGTTTCTAAGTAACTTAACTGCAACCCAGAACAAGCTCAAGAATATTTATAGGAATACAAAAATATCCAGCACCCAACAAGGTAAAATTCATAATGTCTGGTAGCCAATAAAAAGTTACCAGGCGTGGAAGGAAGAAAATATGACCCAGGATGAGGAGAAGAGTCAACCGATAGGAACCCAGCAATGACATAAATGATGGAATTAATAGACAAGAACATTAAAATAGTTAGCACAACTATATTCTACATGTTCAAAAAGTGCTTTAAGGGGACGTTAGTGGCTAGGCAAGGTGACACATTTCTGCAATCCCACCACTCAGAAGGCAAGAAGATGGCACATTTGAGGCTGAAAACTGTAGGAGCAGCTCCCAAAGTTCAAGACCAGCCTAGGCCGTATAGTGAGTTCAAGGCCAGCCTGAAATACATAGCCCTCTCTCGTTCTCAGGAAAAAAAAAAAAAAAGAGTATGTTAAGAGCTGGGTGTAGTGATTGCCCCTGTCATCCAGCTGCTTGGGTGGCTGAGGCAGGTGGATCCCAAGTTCAAGGCTAGCCCCAGCCACTTAGCAAGCCCCTGCTTCAAAAAGGGAAGAAGAGCTTGGGATGCAGCTCAGTGACAGAGCACTCCTGGGTTTGATCTCAAAAAATAAAAATAAAAAATGCATACATTAAGTAGAGATACGAGCTGGGAGTGGTGGTGCACACCTGTAACCCCAGCACTAGGGAGGCTGAGGCAGGGGATCACTGTGAGTTCAAGGACAGCCTGAATTATATAGTGAGACCCTGTCCCAAAATAGAAAAACTAAAAAAAAGAGTAGAGATATAGAAGATATAAAATGCACAAGTTGGGATTAATAGTAGATTAGACATTTCAGGAAACAAAAGATCAGTGAACTTGAAGATAAAACAGGGACTTCAGAAAAGAGTGGTGATAGGTACAAATTCTCTATGATGGATATGGTCATTACGTATATCTAACATGTGCCAATAAAGTCTGACTGAAGAAAAAAAGAAACGAGTGGCACGTCAGCAAGCTGTGGGGCAACTTGAGTAGCCCAGTAAATAGGTAACTGGAATTCCTGAGGAACTGGGGAGGGAAAATACACTTGAAAAAGTAATGGTTGAGCTTTTTCCAAATTTGGTGGAAAAACTAGAAAGCCAAGAAACTCATTGAAACTTAGCAGGAGAAATATTAAGATGTCACAAACATATATTAGTAAAAATATATCTATATACCAAAGTACATCCTGATTAAATGGACTAATACCAGTGAAAAAGAGAAAATCTTAAAAGTATCCCCACCACACCAAAAAAAACCCACATTACAAACAGAGAAACAAAGGTAAGAATGACATCAGACTTCTTCTGGAGAACTACGTGCCAAAAGACAACATAGCAACATCTTTAAAGAATTGAAAGAAAAAAACTGTCAACTGGATTTTTTTTTTTTAATCAAACCCAGGAGCATACTTCCACTGAGATATATGCCTAGACAAGGTTGCTGGCCTTGAACTGGCAATTCTCCTGTCTCAGCCTCTCAAGTAGCTGTATTTACAGGCCTGTGCCACCATACCCAGCTCCGGAATTCTTTACCCAGCCAAAATATTCTGCAGAAACAAAGCCAAAATAAAGATTTTTTTTCAGATTTACAATACATGAATGAATGCAACATCCACAAATGTATAGTGCAGAACATATTAAAAAATCTCTCTGGTGAAGGCAAATGATGCCATATTTGACTCTTCATCCACACAGAATAAAGAGAACATCAGAAGTGGTAATTATCTGGGTACCTATAAAAGAAGCTTTTCTTCTAATTTAAATCTCTGTCAAGGACAATATAACTCAGATAAGGAACCATTGACTAAAAACCATCCAGAGCTCCCCACATCCCAGAATAAATTGTTATGTGCAGCCTTGTCTGAAGTCTGATGAGGTAATTGCAAGAAGCAAACTCCAGGGAAGCTATTAGCAAGTTAGCCTTTGCAATCATGTGGGAGTGTGGATTCTACTTCTGGAAGAAAATAAGGTAGATATGTTTAGTATGAAATTCAACCACCACAGCTGACATCTGTGGCCCAGCTGGGTTGCGCCGCAGCTAGAATATAAGGCCTATGGCAGGCAAAGCCTATTTCTGGGTCAGCATACCGTGATGGAAAGGGGCCCTTCCAGTCCTCAGCGGTGGATCCTAGTGGGAAGAGCTCATGGCGACCCGGGATCCCAAACTTTCTCCAGGAAACCTTCACTGGGAACCAGGCTGGTTTTACTAAAGTTGTGATAGAGAGGAAGCAGGTATTCCCTGTGTTTCCAGATTCCTCCCATCACTCTTGGACCCCTTTGAAGTCCTACCTCCATCACTTCAAATAAATGAAGTTTTTGTTTACTTCGCGGTCACCACTGACTTCCTAATTGTACAGATCACCTCTGCTCTGGGTTCTCCTCCACCTTGGCTTAATTATCTTTCACAGCTTCTCTGAAGGTTCCTCTGTTTCGGGACTCTTCCTGTCTTCTAAGGAAAGCGTGTTACCTACAGGGCCTGAGTTCCTTCCTCCCCCAGGATTCTCCCCCCGGAGGTCTCATGCCCTCCTACTGCCGTTCTTACCTGCTGTGACAATGACTCCCAGATCTCTCTCTGTCCAACTCGGGGCCCAGGGCCACCTCAGCACTGACACACCGGCCACCTACCTCCTTCCTCCGTGTGCCCACCCACCTCCCTGACTGCCGACCTAGACTGTAGCCCTACTTGTCTGCCTCCATGCCCTTCTACACAATGCCCGTGATATGCCTTCTTCACACCCGCCCACCGCCCGGGCCAGAGCCTGGGACACACCCTAAACAGCTGAACCCTGCCAGGGAATTCAGGTCTAAAATCAGCGTAAGAAACATAGATTGTAAATAGTCATTATTACTCTCATATAACCCCTCATTTTATTCAGGAAATGCACATGATTTTATACATAATAAGGGGAATAATAAATTTACCTCCCCCGTCTTGCGCTCCTTCTGGGAGCCATTTTCTCTTAGCGGGAGGCCTGGAAGCCCATTACTTCCCCTACAAGGTCTCTCCCTCCTCCTACTTGTGCCTTTTTTTCTTTTAATCCCACACATCGATTGGATTTCCCTAAGTGAAACGCGTAACTGCACTCAAAGTTCTGGTGAGTGAACCCTTATCTTGCCCCAAGCTCCTTCCCTTGACTTTGCCTTTCGGATGGTGAGAGCACCTCACTGAATCAGGCTGAAAACCGACCCCTCCTCTCCCTCACCCTTTCTTTCCGGTTCCCAGCCTCATTGTTCCCTCTTCCTTCCTCTGCACAACGTCCCTTTGTCTTCATTCTTACTGCCACCTACTAACCAGGCCCTCACCGCGTCCCATCTTGACTTCTCTGATAGTCCCCTAGCCGGTCTCGAAGGTCTCTCTCCAGGTCATGGTCCGTGTTGGCACTGGATTAACATTTTCTGAAGCAGTCATTTGGCCCTGTCACGCCCCCATTCAGAAGCCATCAGTGGCTCCCTGTTGGCTGTCAACTAGAGCCCAGGTCCTACCCACATCTAGTCACAAGCTGTCTCAAGTCTTATCCTCTGAGCTGGGAATACAGCTCAGCGGCACAAGCTCCTGCTTGGTAAGCGTGAGGTTCTGAGTTCGATTCCCGATACCAAAAAAAAAAAAAAAAAGGTAGATCAAGTCTTCTCTTCTACTCTTCCCAGACAAGAATACCATCTTTCTTGCCTGTACCCCAAACTTGTCCCACCTACGTCACTTCCCTCTACCCGAAACGCCCCCACCGTAAACATCTCCACTTGCCAACACTTGACCCAGCCTTGACGGTAACCTCCCAAGGGACTCCTCCTTTTCCCATCACTATCATTCTATGTACCACTTGCCTCACACTGATGGAAGCATCTCATGGTTTTCACTTGTTCACCCATGCAGCATATTTTATTGATCATTTACAATGTGCCAGGCACTCAACTAGGTGTGAGACAAGTAACTGAGACAGAGCCGTGGCATTCACAGAACTCAGTCTGACATAATAATGGACAAGGCGTGAGCCCCAGCAGATACTATGAGAAGAAAAGTGAAAAAGGGGAGCCTGAGCCTGAGCCTGTAATCTCAGCTCTCTGGAAGGCTGAGGCAGGAGGACTGAAAGTTTGAGCCCATCTTGGACAGCTTAGTGACTTACTGAGACTCTGCACCAAAATATAAAACAAAAAGAGTGTGAGGATAGAGCTCAGTGTGAAGGTTCTGGGTGCAATCTTCCGTAGAGAAAAAAAAAAAGAGAGGAACCTCATCTTGACAGTGGTCAGGAAAAAAAAAGCTTATTTTCAATTTAAGTATTATTTAAGCTGAAACCTAAAGAATGAGCAGAAAGTAGGCAGGCAGAGAAAGGGAAAAAGAAGGCTCCAGGTTGAAGGGAAAGTCTCCCCAAAACTTAAAAGCCCATGAGTAAGAGAGGACAGGGCTTGTTAGCAAAATCGAAAGGAAAAAAAGTCACAGCAAGAGCACAAACAAGGTGGAAGCAGGGGAAACAGCGTTGGGAAACAAGCAAGACCCAGAGGTTACAGCTTGTAAACTAAGTAAAAGAGGCTGGGATTGGCCCTGAGGGCAAGGAAGGTTTGAAGGCAAGGTGCAGTGTGATTGATCCTAATCGGTTGTTAAAAAGAGAGTGGATGGTAGCAACACAGATCAGAGGTGGATGCAGTAACCTGGTAAGAAAAGAGCAAGGCTTGGACTGGGAATAGCAAGAGGAACCGAGTAGGATTTGGATGCTAGAGTAATATGATTTGGATGAACCGAACTCAAAGGGACCAGGAGAAGAAAAGGGCAGAGATCATCATACAGCCTCCAAGAATGCTTTGCACATAACAGCTGCTCAATCAATATTTGTGGTACAAATGAACCTATAACAAGTAAAAGAACAAGAAGCAGAGGAGAGTAGACTTTTGGAGATCCCTTCCAAGGTAAGCCATAATATAGATTCAAGAAAAAAAATCAAAATTTATTGGTTTACATCCTCTGTATTTTAAACGGATGAAATCTTGTTAAGATAAATGTAGGGAATACCAAGTACATAGTGTCAGTGCCACAGACCACTTTCGATATTTCTGCTTTCCCAAATACTGTCTCTCTGAGTCTTTTTTCACCTCCCCAAAACCTTAGGCCTCTGAATTCCAGAATTTGCCACACTTCAGAAATGGTTATTTCAATAACAATCTAAATGCTTCAGAAATGGATTCATTCATCAGGTTTGTATCAAGTGCCTTCTCCGTGTCATGTTTTAACCTGGGTTGTAACCATGACAATAGACACGGCCCCGTCTTCTGAGGAGATATCTGTCCCCTTGAGCATTTAAATTAGATCAGGCATGTAGATGATGAGGTGTGTTTCTTTTTCTTCGTTTGCTCCCACAGAAGTCTCTTTGGGTTGTAGAGAGACCCTGGTCTCCAAAATGTCTAGATGCTTCCTATTTTGGAAAAGCATTCCGAAAAAGGGTGTCATTTTCATAATGTAATAGCACCACCTAGTGGTCGCAAATAGCAGTACTAATTGAACCAGAAAAATTTCCCTACAGACCCCTGCGGTATTCCCAGAAATGACTTTTACCATTTCTCGAGAACTTTTCCTTTCTCTATTAAGATAATCTAGGAGTTGATTCTCTAACACCTAATAGATACTTAATAGGTGTTTGTTAAATAAATGCAAAAGTGGAAGAGCCTATTAATTTCGTACTCTGGTTACTTATGAAAGAGGAAATTTAGAAATTTTTCTCCAATTTTGCTGGACTCCAAATGGCCTCTAGTCACTTCCAGCTAAAGGCCAACATGAGCCCTGTCCTTCATTTACCACATTTGAATAAAATGATATTTTTAAGGGTCACTGAATCACAGGAGAAACCCAAAGAGCATTGTATAATTCAAAATACAATAAAGTCCGTCACCCCCAAGATCAAGGCCAGTAACAAACAGGACGCTGGTTCTAAGGAGAGGAGAATGTGGGCCTGGGACATCTGAAGGTGCTTTTATTGATTTTGCTTCTACACACAGGCCAAAGTGGGCCAGGCGTCCCTGGGAAGTGTGCTCAGCGGGAATGGTGACCCTAATTGAGTGGCCCAACACCAGCAGGGATCACAAAGAAAACAGAAAAGAACGAAAGAAAACAAGGACTATTTCTTTGGAATATAGCCTCCAAGGACAGTATTTCAACAGGCTAAACTTTAGGTACTATCGTGGGTGTAAACGTACAAAGCAGATCTCCAAGCAGTCCTGGCTTCCCAAGGCCCAGAGGGAAAATGGCAGTTAGCAACGGTTACCTGGCTCCGCCTTTCTCAGAACCTTGAGAGGTAGAAGCAAAGCGTGCCTGAGGGCTCTGCCCCCTCAGTCAGTTCCTTGCTACTTGGCCTTTTCCTTCCTTCTTGCTCAAGAGTGTCACAGTCCCAGCTTGCATTTGAGAGAGGCAGCCAGAGAGGGATCCGGATACAGAGGACACAGAGGGAGGGGGACCCAGATTCTAAGCCCAGCCCCCTTCTCTTGCTGGCTTTTGACTTTTGGCAAATTATTTAACCTCTCTAGCATGGCTACCTGGTGCACTGTAAAAGCCGTAGACCAATTCTAGGAGTGCTGCTTTTATTATAATCACCGTAGATTCTTTGAGAGAATTTTCCAACAGATGGTAGCCAAGCATTTAAAGGGTACCTCTTTTGTAATTCACCCAAAGAACCTACAGGGTTATCATTGGCCTTGGATTCTGAGCCTAATCTAAAAAATGTAGACAAGATACGTACGAAGTTGGCCAGCGATCCAACCAAAATGGTGGGTGTAAAGCACGAAGAAAACTAACATGGTAGGAAGTGTTGTTTCCCAAAGTTCTGCTTGTGATTACCCAACTTTGAGGAATTGGGATGGCAAAAGTAAAACAAGTTCTAAACTGCATTATCTCCCCTTTGAAAATAGAACCAAAGGCTAGTATTGAAATAGCAAATACCGTCTCACTCCAAACATGTCCTGATTAACAAGGTAACTTTGTACTCCTGAAAGGGGTTAAAAGAATATATTAATTTCTGGGAGTTGCTTCACCAAGTAAACAATAATTAAGTACATTAAGTTACTTATAAAATATTTAAACCTTCTCTGAGTCTTCACATAAAAGAAGGAAATGAAGGATAAACCCCACCCCTGACCTCACCCCCACCACTAACCCCTAGAAATTGGCTTTGTGCTTGTGGACAATCTGAGACAGGCTAAGGAAAAGTGGAAAGTTGTAAACTTTTAAAAGTTAGTCCTCAGGAGTCATTCTGCAATGCAATATACATTTGAGAAATCGTTGTTTTCAGGGAAACAGCCCACACAGAACTTCTTTGATTCCTGTCACCATGAAAATTCGGCTAAGTATCACTCAGGCTAGTAACACAAATGTCAGAGAATATGGATTTGGCTTGGAAAAGAGGACTGGGTAGGTAGCAGATCTGGATTTCTAATTTGATCTGTTTTGAGGTAATGATTAATCTGCCCTCCCTGTACAAACTCCACCTAGAATAACCACATAATTGATTAGGGAAAAGTTTCTCTTTAGAGAAAGAGCTCAGGCCCAATCACAAGTTCCACCTGTGGCATGACAGTGTGAGGCTCTCCAGAGACTCTTTTTCCAGTGAACTGATCAAAATCACTTAAAACAAAAAAGTGTGTAAGGTCTCTGTGAGGGGCTAGTGCATAGCTCACTGGTGAGCACTTGCCTAGCATGTGCGAGGTCCTGGGTTCAAACCCCAGCATCACAAAAAAAAAAAGTTAAAAAAACTTTTCAAAGTATCTGGGAATAGTCTTAAGAGCAAACAACAAATGAAGAAATACAAAAATTTAGTAAAAGGTTAAAGTCTACAATATGCGAACCAAGGCCAGCGGTTCAACCAAAATAGTTAGTATAAAGCACGGCCCAGGTCCTCTCTGGGGCCCCACTGCAGTGAGGCAAAAACTACACCAGCCTGGTAAACACAAGGTCTACCGAAGTATTTTGTTTTGTTTTGGTTTTGTTTTTCTTTCCGGTACTGGGAATCGAACTCACAACCTTGCGCTTGCCAGGCAGGTGCTGTGCCACTGAGCTACATCCCCAGCCCCGAACACAAGGTCTAAGTCAAAGGCACAGGATGTCAGCCTTGGTCAGCCTTCCCCAGCTACCTGTTGCCAAGACTAATTTCCAGGTGGGCATAGCCAATACAAGTAGGGCTTCTCTTCCTCTACCCAGCTCCCACTGTAAAGAAAGCTCTAAGTGGGGCATGGCACACCTGACAATACTGGGGTCCTGGCAAGAAAGGCAAACCCAGGAGACCTGTGACTCCTACCCCAACCCCATCTAGCAAGAACTCAGCCCCTAACATGGCTGTCACTCAGAAAGAAGTACATTCAGAGCCTGGGCTTAGCGATTTCCCCAGGACCAGGCCAGAGAACAAACAAATCTGGGAAACTCACAAACATGTGAAAGTAAAAACCTAAACAAACCTAGATAGCCAACAGGTGAAAGAGATCATCAAAAAAGAAATGAGAATAATCTTTCAGGTAAATTAAAATGAGGATATAACTTATCAAATTTTATAGGATACAGCTAAAATAGCACAGAGAAACTTATACCTATAAATATAAATGTTTAAATATTATTAAAAAGAAGAAAGACCTTAAATCAACAGCCTATCTTCCATCTTAAAATATTGGAGAAAAATGCAGCTACAGCAAACAGAATGAAGGATATAATAAAGACATGAATAAAAATTAATGAAATAGAAAAAAATTTAAATCAATTAAAACAAAAGCTGGTTCTTCCAAAAAAAAAAAAAATTAACAAAATTGACAAACTGTTACCTAGTCAGCTAAGAAAAAAAAAGACATTACTAGAAAAAAAAGGGGAACCAGGTGTGGCACAGCCTGTAATCCCAGCATTCAAGAGGCTGAGGCAGGAGGATCGCCACAAGTTCCAGGTCAGCCTGGGCTACAAAGTGGGCTCAAGGCCAGCCTGAACTACACAGAGACACCCTGTCTCAAAAAGACAAAATAAATGAATAAATAAATAAATAAATGCGGAGACATTATCAACCTTACCAAAAAGAAAAAGATTATAAGAAATACTACAAATAATTATATGCTAATAAATGACAATTTAGATAAAATGGATAAGTTTCTGGAAGCACACAAATTACAGAAACTGACTCAAGAAGAAAACAGGTAATTTGAATAGATTTATAACAATGAAAAGAATCAGTAATTGAAAAATTACTCATGAAGAAAAGCCCAGCCCTATATTGCTTCACTGATAAATTCTACCAACATCTAAAGAATGGTCATAAGAGCAAACTCCCTTCACAAACTCTTCCAAAAAAATAGAAGAGAGCACTTCCCAACTCACTGTGTGAGTCCCTGATACCAAAAACAAAGATGTCACAAGAAAATTACAAACCAATATCTCCTTTAATATGAATGCAAAACATCCTACCAAGCTGAATCCAATAACATGTAAAAATAAGTATACATGTATGAAGTAAAATTTATCCCAGTATCCCAGGAATGCAAGTTTATAGGTTGTCTTAATATTGAAATATATATATATGTAATAAAGAAATAAAAATATATGATCACTACAATAGACATAGAAAAAGCATTTACAAAATCCAATGTCCTTTCAGGGTTAAAAAAAACAAAACAAAGAAAAAATAGCAGAGCAGTAACCACAACTCTCTGAGATTTGGAATCTGGCACTGGAAAAGAACTCGAAGAAGGAAGAAAGAGAGAAATTGATCCCCAGGAACCAGGAAGGATTTGACAGGAAAATTAAAACTTACAGAGAAATTGAAGTGACAGAACACAATGTGAAGAAAGAAAGAAAGAAAGAAACAGTGTGCACTTTCTTCCTGGCTCCAGGCTTATGGCTTGCAGGAAGGACAAACCAAACCCACAAAGTGAAAGCTGCAGGCTCCACAGAC